ATGTAGCCGATTGCCACTTTCTTATTGACTATAATTAGAATTCCATTACCATATCCTTTCCATTTTTCTTTGACCGGCCTCCCATTACAACTAATTATTTTTCATGCAATCATATTCTTTTATTTATTTAAGCACTTGGTTAATCACGCTTCACTATTGATTGCATGTTCTCTTTCATTATTTCTTGTCTTTCACTAGTTAACATCACATGCCCATCATTCTTTTCTTGAAGAAAATCGTAGACTTCCTTTGGCCAAATCTCACTTATTTCATTTTTCTTTTGTTAAGAAACCCACATGGCCGAATGTTCCCTTTCATGCTTGCTCAAGCATGTCCTCTTTTTTCTTTTGTCTTCACATGATGAGAGACTCACATATTCCCCACTAACTCACATAGTCTTTGTTTTTGAGATTTACCATTAGCAAACCACCCATGGTTTTTTATTTCTCCTTGTTTTCATGCATGCAAGGCCAACCATAGTTTTTATTTCTATCTCCACACATATGCAATTTCTTATGTGTCATCCATACCATTTGAATTTTCAATACAATTATATACATATTTGAATGTACATTTACTCTAAGAACGGGTTAATTGCTCATTGATTTTTCAACTTTTTATTATTTACAATTTAATCCTCCAACCTCTTCATCATTTACAATTTAAGCTTCCAAATTTTGCACTATTTATAATTTAATCCTTCAACTTTTCATTATTTACTATTTCATTCATCAACATTTTACTTCTTTTCAATTAAGTCCCTCCAACGATTCTTTTCACTTTAGCTACCTTCATAAAAATTTTTCCTATAACAAAATTCTCAAATCCATAAGTTCTTCACTCCCTCACTTTAGCCTAACTTATCTTTTCAAAACCGACCTTCGATATTTTGTTATTTTATTCAATTACATTATTTTTATATTATTTTGTTATTCAAAAATCATTTTAACTTCATATCATCTACTCCACTTCCACATGTCTTCTCACATCATCAAGAATCACAATTCATCTTAAAGCGCAAATAATATCTTAATTTGATTAACATCCAAAGGATAGGATGTTACAAACTCTCCCACTTAAAAACAAATTTATCTTCGAATTCTAACAATGTAGAGGGTTAGTGGATGTACATTTAGTCCTCAAATAGATATGGATATTCTACCCTCATCTCTTCTTCTGGTTCCCAGGTTGACTCTTAAACTAAATGGCTTTGCCATATTACCTTCAACGAGATGATATCTATGGAGCAAAGCCTCTTCACTAGTCAGTCTAGAATGGCCGATCTATACGCAATGGCACCTTTGTGCTCCAATATTTCGAATGGGCCAATATAGCAAGGATTGAGTTTCCCCTTCTTGCCTAATCTCCTAATCCCCTTAAGCGATGACACCTTCAGAAACAATCACCTACATCAAACTCCAAGGGCCTACGTCTGTTATCAGTATACGATGAATTGTGGTTATTGATAATGTGAAGAGACGTGTAAGTGGAATAGATATCGTGAAATTAAAGTAATATTTTCATATTCAAATATTATTAAAATAATATAAATGACTGAACCAAATAACAAAATATCGAAAGTTGATTTTGAAAAGGTAAGTTCGGCCAAAGTGGGAGAGTGAGGAATTTATGGATTTCAAAATTTGTTATAGGAAAAAATTTTGAGAAGGTAGCCAAAGTCAAAAAAATTATTGGAGGGGCCTGATTAAAAAAAAGTAAAATGTTGAGAGATGAAATTGTAAATGATGAAAAGTTGAAGAATTAAATCGTAAAAAATGAAAAGTTTAAAAAACTAAATTGTAAATAATGAAAAGATTTAAAGATTAAATTTTAAATAATAAAAAGTTTTAAGGACCAATGAGCAATTAACCAATCCGTAGATTAAATGCACAATTAAATATGTATATATTTGTATTTGAAATTCAAATGGTGTATAAGTGGCACATAGGAATTTTGCTTGTGCATGGAGATAGAAGAGAAAAGGGCGACTAACTATGCATGCATAAAATTAGGGAGAAATACAAATCCATGGATGATTTGCCCATAGTAAATTTAAAAAACAAAGACTGTGCGAGTTACTAGGGAGCTTGTGAGTCTCACCATCTGAAGACAAATGGAAAAGGAAGATATGCAGAAGTAAGCATGAAAAAGACCATTCGACCATGTGGGTTGTTTAAACAAAAGAAAAATGAAATAAATAGAATTTAGTCAAAAGCAACCCACATTATTCATAGAGAAAAGAATAACAAGCATGTAATTTTAACCAGTGAAAGACAAGAACGAATAAAGGAGAACATGTAACCAATAGTGAATGGCGTAAAGAACCAATTGCTTAAACAAATAAAAGAATATGATTGCATGAAAAATAATTGATTGCAATGGAAGACCGGTCAAAGAAAAATGAAAACAATAAGGTAATGGGTATCTACTAATGGCCAACATGAAAGTGGCAATCAGCTATAAGGAGAGTCAAAGGATTTTCTTAAGATAAGATGTGTAACAAGATGATGAAATACATAAAACAAAAGATTTAAGATTAGGAGAATCTGCCCACTCTTCAAGATTAACCCGAGAGCTCCATGATGCTTTACAAGAGTGGTTCCAATGTTGATTTTGAGAAGAAAAAAGAAAACTTGAGAGACTTCTTTGATCCCTCGAAAACAGATGTTTTTCATAACCTTATTAAGCAACAAAAAATCTAGTCCAAAAAACCTCATAGAGCTAAAAAAGCTTAAAGAGGTAATGAGAAGCCTGGTTGAGAGAAATTGAGGGTTTAACACTCGGCCAAAGAGTAAGGAGTTTAAATGGTTGAGCTTATCTACTCACCTTTGAAGCAATTAGGGCTTCCAAAATTGGAGTTGATGGCTAGAAATCCAAAGCTTAGCTAAGGGTCTTTCTATTTAAGGTTCAAAAATTAAGAGGTCAAAGAGATTAAAGATTTTAAACTCTTATGGTAGATTTGGAATTGTGTGATGGAGCACTGTTTAATTTTTCTCTAAATGAGATTAACCATTTACAAGGTAATTAGAAAATTTTTTTAGTTGATCACTTTAGTTAGTTGTGTTGAGAAAGTTCTTCAGGTCTTAATATTTAAACTATTATTGTTGTGCAGCACCAAATAATATTTTTTAGATCTAACAAATAGTGATTGCTTCCCAATTTCAAGAGTTGTTAGGTTTTTTTTTAGTTCTTTATTCACTAGAAAATTTGGAAAATTAAATGGATTGCCCTTATTTATTTTTCGTTTTTTTAAAGAAATGAATAGCTCAAGTGATAGAAATTGAAGAACTAAAATAAAATTCTAATCTTGTTGTTTCATTGATGAAAGAAGGGTAAAAAGGTCATGAAATTGATGCCACATCATTAAATAAACGGAGACTTAAACAGTAGACTAATAGAGTCCAAGGACATCTATTATTTTGGGATAGAATGTCCATTTCAAATACTAATGGACCTAAAGTGAATTATGATCAAACTTGAAGGCAGTAGAGGTATTTTACCCTTAAATAATTGTTATTAGGCTTTTGATTATTTTTGGGAGAAAGCATGCTAGAGCAAATGAATGTAAAGAATATCCTCACACACCTTGTTTGTTTTCAAAAATATCTTATATGTATGTTTCTCTAAACAAAGTAAGTTTTATTCCATTATTTCAGTATATGAAAATGGAGTCAAGAATATGATTACTTTTTACTCTGGTTTGTTCATACGAATAAGATCTACATATGAATGGTTTTGTTTATTCATATGATGAAGATTGATTTACGAATACTTTCGTTTATTCATATGATGAAGATTGATTTATGAATGTTTTGATTTATTCATATGACAAATAATGATTTATGAATGAGATAAGATCTTTGATTATTTTAAAAAATGTTTCAAGAGTTACAAAAAAATCCCTAAGAAGTAAGATAATCGATATCATAACTCGTTCTATGACCCTACTGACGAGTTATAATAGTTAGCATATGACCCTGCTAATAGGTTACACTAGTTAGCATACGCCTCCGCTAACAGGTTACAGTAGTTAGTATATGACTCTACTATGAGGTTACAATAATTAGTATACAACCTACTAATGGATTATAATAGTTAAATAATGATCATGAGAATAATTTGTCAATACAATCCTTATCAAAGTTTATAGTAGTGATCGTACCTAAAGATGAAACTTTATAAGTTTTAAAGGTTGAATCTATGATTTACTTGAATGATACTTGAAGAATAATATTCGACGGCCAATGATTTATGAACTTATAAAATTATTCTTTTAGGATATAATGATTCTTTAATTGTTTTGAAAGCATGATGTATTGATATGCTCTTGAATGATCCATATAATTTATTGAAAATGGTGCTTAATCAAGCAAGGTGTGTGTGGCTATACTTATTGGGTTGCAGTTTGCTCAGTCTTTTATTTATATTTTTGTAGATGACTAGAGATGAGAGCTTTAAAATTATGGGAGCTAAGAGAACTATTTGAGAAGTCTACTTTAGTGTGTCAAGACATAACTAGATATGTTAAAACTCTATTATGTGTAATTAGTAGTTAAGTTTCTTATTGATTTAATTTATTATCTTGGAAACTTTAGATAAGTTGTAGTAGTTTAAATTTCGAATATATGTGAAGAGAATTGTCAATATGAATTCAATTGAAGACTTTTATATGAATAATAAATAGAAGGGCTTTGTATTACTTTTGGGACATATTCTCAAGGTAACATGACCGTGTTATGTCTTGGTTTTAAGACATGAAAAAAGTCACCCATAAAAAAGAGAAAAAGCACAAATCCAAAAGTACCAAATTACTATAACCCAAGCAGAGAAAAGAAGAAAGGGATGAACAAATGATTAAAGAAAACCTTTAAATCATCCAATCACTGCATTAAGAAAATTGAAAAAAGTACTTGAGATACCACAAAAGATAGCAAAGACCAAGAGCAAAATAATCTCAAACAAACTATCTCTAACGAAAAAAGTGCAGAGGCAAGTCCTACCTGGACTTGCATGGCTGAACCAAACAAAGACTCTTCGTGCTCAATAAGCCGTTGAAGAAGCATCTGGTAATGATCTACACCTAAATTTACCACTGGCTCTGTTTGAATGTGCAATCCTGCAAGTTGTGTAACGACATAGGAGGCCATAACCTGTCCAAAAATTGCAGGGATGGTACCCAGAACAGGTATGATGCGGACCCTAAACCCAGGTACTATCTGACACCAAGATAACAAGTTAAATTTTTAGATTACACACATAGGTACATACTAACATAAACCAAAATTCTTTTCTTTTTCCTCTTACCAATAAATCTAATTATTGCAAAAACTAGGGCCCTAATGCTATCAAGTTAAAATAAAGTAGCTAAAAGAAACACAGCTCTAATTCCACCCCCAAAAAAAAAGTTTAAATGCCAAATTCTGTTGCAATAGTACTTCGAAATAAAGTACTCACTAAATTTCTCCATTGATGTGCAGTAATCACTAAATAAAGTACTTCGAAATTTCAAAAGTAACAGAAGCATCCTCACTTGATAATCTGAAGGGTTCTCTTCTTCACCACTTGGCCCCTTAAAAGGAAGCAGCTTAGCTTTAGGTTTCTCTAAAGAGAAAACAACAGGAATTCCACCCTCAATGCCATAATCTTTCCTTAAACGATGTCTCACCTAAAAGTAGGAAATTGACAAGGAGTTAAGCGATCAATAGCAGGAAATAAACCACTAAACAGAGATAAACAAGGGTAAATTTCAATCTCCAAAATTACTACACATGCATAAAGATATTCAAGTTTTTCCAAGCCAAACAGAATTCTGGCTGAAACCAACACCCCAAAATAAACACCATTTAGGTCAGCAACAACAGCAAAACTGCAGTAGAAAGTGTAGATTCAAATGCCAGAGAAAACCACAACCCATTGTAAAAAGAATTGACAATTTCAAAACAATTTCACTGTATTCCGAATCAATAATTCAAACTACCAAAAGCTCAAATCTCAAGAATTTATAATAATACAAAACCTCAATAATTCAAAAATCCAAAGTTACTGAAACTAAAATAATTTAAATTCCGTACAGGCTAAACCCAAAACCCTAATATAAACTACAAATACCAACTAGGATAATGCTCTATTACTAACCAAAAGAAACCAAATAATCCAAAATATCCTAAATTTAGATAAAAATTCAAGTCCAACCCATAAAATATAAGAAACTAGTAAAAAAGTTAAATAATCGAATTCCTCAAGCACCTTCTTTCCACCCTGCATCAAGCACCATGCCCAACTCAACTATAAACCTAATTTTTCTCATCATTCCCATCATTCTGCCATCAAATATTCCTATTTATTAGCCCCAAAATTCCTTACCATTATGCCATCATCAATTTGAGCTCCCCCCCGGGTTCTATGTTATACTTTTTAACTTGCTATTGCCAATCCATAAGCATTAGTGCATTAACATATCATCTTCGACAAAAGCATCATGCTCCATTCCAAATGGTTAAAAAAATTTTTGCATGCTATTCCAAAGTTGTAAGCTAAACCCAACACACTCATAGTAACGTACCTCTCAGTTTCTTTAAATCAATAAATTTGAATGTAAGCTATGAAGGTTTCAAACAGATAGAAAAGTGTTAAGGAATCTCAAGCAACCCTTTTGGTCAAGGAGAGGAACCAAGTAGAAATTACTGGACCGTAAAAGAGAAGCAAGAACTGTCCTACAACATCAGGATTTATCTCTCCAGCCTTACCATTCTTTGAAGGAAAAGGAAAATGAAGCAGAAAAATGTGCAATTTTAAATCCATTATTTAAAGAATGGTTGTAAGTTATATTTTCATTTACTGTCAAACATGATTCAAAAGAAAGTATTGATCTTCCCAAAAAAAATGTACTTTGTATTTAAAGAAAAAAATTTACCAATTTAGAATGTTAAAAGCATATTACATATCATAGTAAACAAAATCTAACAATTTCATTTCATATATATTAGAAAGCATCATAACTAAAATAAACAAATAAACAAATTAATTGGGTAACCAGAAGGCAAGAGGTGCTAGCAATCAATTATCAAAGCAAAAAGACAGAGGCACAGAAATATATTTCAACTAGTTAGGGCTCCAAAATTTTGAAAAATGACAGAGTGATTACAGCTCTAGATAATGGATCATTCGTTGACTCTCTTAAATCAGCCACACGAATTCTTGTTGGGTCAGCTCTAGCTCCAGCTCCTGTAGCAGATAGTACCTTCAAACCTCTGCGTACACATGCAGCCAGAAGCGCCACCTATTACAAATGGAAATATAATCATCTTAAGCTGGACCTCTGCCATTACCGCAGTCTGTGTAAATACAGAAATTATGTCTAATAAGCCAACAGACTATTAGCAATTAGCTGAAAGAAATTATTTTGCTTCTTTACTCACACTTTAGACAACTCAGGTATCAGACAAGCACATTGAAGGATACCAATGCACTAAGATAAAAAGGAAAGAGCAAGAAAAGAAAATGGATTTTATACAAATTAAAACACAACAAATTGACTCCAATGTTATATACTTCATATCTAACCTGTTGGCAAAAACTGGAAGTTCGTAAGTCATGATGGATACCTTTGTGTCAATGTTATCAATGCAGTCCAAAATAAAATCAGGGTTGCCAGAAAGAATTTCTTCTTCAGATGACACATCATACAGTAGCACCTTCGCTTCTATTTGGCATTCAGGGAAGATTGAAGCAAAATGCTTCCTGAGGCACTCAGCTTTTGGAATACCAACATCTGCTCGTGTTGCAACAGCGTGTCTATTTAATGATGAAAGTGATACCTTATCATGTAATCAAAAATAAGTACAGATTTCTTATAAATATAAAATTTTAATGCATATCATTTTTGAAAGAAGTAAATCCATGCTTTGCATTCCCCAACCTACTTATGCTATCATTTCCTTCCTCTAGTAGCAAAGCTAAATTAGAATATGCAAACATAACGTGAAATTTTATATAATTGTTAAAATGTTATTACATGTAGCAAGTCTTTGAAAGTGCTAGGAGCATGCCAGAAACAATGAGAAGCTATTGTAAAACAACACACCAAATAATAACCAAAAAGGTCGAGTCCAGGCTCCAGGATATTTTACACATAATATTCATATTAAATTCACATATCCTTTGAAATAAAGGTAATGATGATGCAGCAAGTCATTTCATGATTTTATTTCAAACCAAAGGGCAATCCTCCCCAAATTTCAGAATCTTTCTTTATGTTATACATCTTAAGGGTCTACATATTTCATTTATCCAGTAAGCTAGTTAAAATTTTGCTATATAATTGCCCCTAGAAAAATCAGCCATCTCAGCCAATGTGAAGTAGTGTTTTTAAACCTAGACCAGTAAGCAAAACATTCAGTCTAGCAGGTTCGGTTCAACCAGTTACACCGCTTGATGTATACAGTCCAAAAGTGTTCTTGTAAAGAAATAGACTGACAGGAATTTGATGTTTTATGCTTGTCACACCCCCAACCCAAGGACTGAGGACATTGAAACACCATATACTCATGGAACAAATCCCATAAGGATGTAAGGCAACAAATATCTAACTAAACCAAAATCGAAATCTCATTGTATCTCCAATATTTCATTTTATAAAAAATCATGACTTCAAGCTTGAAGAAACCAAATTATTCAAAAGATACAAAAGTTCCATCTAAGCTAGCAATTCTTCTAGAACCAATACAAAAATAATCACAACCAAAGTTAGACAAGACTAAGGACAGTTACTAATCTAGCTAATACATGCTCTCTTCAAAAAAAGTCTACTCCCCAGAAACACAAATATCAAAATCAGAAAAAAAAAAAGTAAGGGAAATGAAAAAATTGTGTACAACAACTCAACAAGAAACCAGCATCCCCTCAGTTGGGTTAAGCAAGCTTCAAAACCTTTAGGCTAAATTATCAGATATAATGATTCAAAACCAAAATAGGACAATCTAATATTCATAATTATATTTATTCCAAAATTGAATATTCAAATAGCCATGCTAACAATGTTTTACAAAATTATAAGTTCATAAGTATCCGATAACATGCTATGGTCACACTTAATCACAGTGGCATAGGTCAAATCAAAACAAGAACCATAACTAACTCTAGTGGCAATAGGTCAAAAGTATATCAAAAGCATCTGCAGATGGGTGCCTGTATAATAGGGAGACAAGTAGTGTTGCAACAAGTAAAAATAAATGTGTTGGAGGCGGGGGAAAGGAAGATTGGAGCAGTCCTTGAGACATTGAGTATCGTGGCTGGCAATGATAAATAAAATTTAGGAAAAATATAGAGAAAGTGAGGTGGCAGAGAAAGATGGAGAATTAGGTGGAAAAAGCATAACAAGAAAGAGTATTTGGAAGAGCGTAGAAAGGGAATCTGTTGAGTTTCAAGTGCTTCATCGATGAATTGTCTCTATATATAGACCAAGAAACAGGGGTTACTCAAGAGTAATATGCACATAGTAGGAGCGGTTATTAAGAGCAAATATGTACGTGATGAGAGAAACACATTACACCATTATGTATAGTGGGGTAGTGGGTTTTTTATACATTCATGCCGCCAATGCCATAGTGGATTTGTCACACTCAGAAGTGTGTCACTTGTTCCCAAAAAATAGCGGAAAGCGCTCATACTTCAAGGAAAAGTTAAGAAGAATTTATTTAAACAGCATCCATATCTAAGCCACAAAGCGAAACGCACTAGAACATCCCAAGAACGAAAGTAACACGTGAACCCAGCCATTTGTCCCAAGTTACTTTCACTGATGCCATGCTCTACTTGTTCATTGCTCTCTGTATAGTCATATGATACTGTGAAATAACTTCATGTAATATATTACGCGATAAGACAAATAATATATTAGTAGCCAAAATCAAGCATCAACTATCCTAGTAGCCTAATAATCCAAAAAATACTCAAAAGTCGAAAATCAAAACTATAAAATTATCAAAACAAGCCATGACTCTGTTGATCATCCTAAGACACTTAGGGTATCGCAACCTCTTTACCTAATGAGTTTTGAAATGTTTTTGAAAAGGAATATTCTTTTATAATTTGAAAAATATAATAATATTGGAAAATTATAAGTTAAAACAAAAAACCAGTAACAAACATGATATTTGATGAAAAAAATTCCTATATTAGCCAAAACTTAGTTTCATAGATGTTTCACAAAACAAAAAAAAAATTTACTAAATATACTTAGAGATAATTTACCAAAAAGATATTTATTCAAGCAAAAATCAATAAAATTTATATAATCAAAATTTCTGAAGTTTATAGAAAAATGGATCAAAGATTAATCATAAATAAATTTTAAAATAATTAACGTGTTTTACTAAATTCAAAATTTCAAAATCTCATGGTCATTTAACCCAATTTGACCTCTTGTGATATATGACCTAGGTCACATTTTGAGTTGAAACCAACACTATTTGAAGTCCACAAAAGCCAAATAGGATTCAGTCACAAGGAAGACCAGAATTCCATTTTTCCAGCAGCCAAAAGTTCCAAAATGTACACCAATATGCCCAGAATTTCTGAGTTTTATGGCCATTTGGCTGTCTTTAAGGCCTCGATTCTCTTAACACATAAAACCCATAACCAAGCCATCAAAACCAATAGAAAGCTGCATTTAATACTACAAAACCCATCCAAGACTCAACCAAAGCATCACAGGAAAGTGGATTTCTGGTGACTGAATACTGAGGTTTCGAAACTATCAAAACCCCGTTTTTCAAACATTCAAAAATTAATATCTCTCAAACTAGAAATCTAAATGAGGTGCCACATGAACCATTAGAAAGATCTCCACAAGCCATTTTGATTGGTATCCATCATGTCTCCAAAAGGTTATCGGAGTGGTGCTTGTATTATTGAAAAAATCTAATAATAATAAACTAACACATGGGGTTTCTAGTACAAAACTCAAAATACCATAACCTAAAAGATTTTTTCAGACTAGTCTTTCCTTAATCTTGAGTTTGAAAAACCTTTGTCCCAAAATTTCAGCCTTCCTCTCTCTTCTAGGGTTTTCTTTTCCCAATTTTGCCTGTTGACCAGACTAAAAGAATAACGTATAATAGGTTTTGTTTCTAAAGGAGGGTTGTAACTAGTCAAAGATAACCACTCTTACAAGAATTGAGCATTTTGGGCCAGGTACTACAACACTAGTTGAATACTTGGTTTTGTCCTTTCTAAAGTTGGTGATAGTGACACCAAAATGAGCTGTCAATGCACATCTTTTTCTTGAATTTGACTTTTCAAATCTCATCTGAAAGCAAATTTAATGGCAGCACCTTTCCTTTTTCCTTCCTTGTCTCTAGCTGAAACCTTCACCTTTTTTCTTTTCCAAAGTTTCTCTCCCTCAAGTAAGTCTGAACAGATATAGAGCTTCTTAGTTCTTTCTCATTTGCACTTCCAGTTTCCAAGCACAAATGTAATTAATTACAACACTTATTCTTTCTCTCTTTCATTGTTCTATTTCCCTTTTTCAGCCAATAAAAAATCTCTCTTTCAACTTCACCTCATGCTCCAAGCTTCTTCCTTTGCATTTTTCATAGTTTTTTGTAGGTGATATAGTAGTGTTGGGGTGGCTAGTGCTAGTGTATGGTGATGATTATTTTCTAAAGCTTCTTTTTTCATTTTCAATTTGCAATTTAAAATACCAGATATAACCTTAGATCTATAAGATATTACAATTACACCCCATAAATACAATACAGTGACAAAAAATCTAAGTAAGCTAATCCCTTAATTAGCTTATCAGCATTCGGCATCATCACAATGATTTCCAATCCCATCACTTACCAGTTAAGACAGATCTTAATAATGTGAAATGGCCATAAACTTTTTAGTGAATGCTAAAACAAATAATATGGCTTCACATACCCCAAAAATAGGCCAAACTCCATTTCTAGGATCATATTATCCTGCTTGAGTTGGCATTTACTGAAAATTGACGCAATAGGAAACAAAGTCACAATATCTTCTAAATATGGTTAAGTTTCGGAGAAATTTAAGAATTTAAGAGCACTACAATCCTTAACATCCAGACACCCAGCAAACTTTCATGCTGTTTGCTCAAAAACAAAAGAGATATGAGACAATAAATTCAATAGATGGAGAAGACGGTCATAGAGAAAATAGCATATTGACAAGAAGGTCATAGAGAAAATAGCATATTGGCATAAAAATTTGATCTAACAGAAATTGTAGCTGAAGGACAACTTGCACCAGAGAAGCAAAACTGTTAATACAAAGTTCAAATGAATATGCAACATTTTACATGCTAGATACTAACAAAGCCCAAGTAAATTAACAGTGGATTAACAACACATATCCAATACCTGGTCAAAGTCCACCAATAGGAGCTTGCCAACTCCTGATCTCAGAAGCATAGATGCAGCATGACTTCCAACACCTCCAAGACCAATGACTACAACATAGGATGTTGTAACCTTTTGTTGAGAGTCAAGGCCAAAGAACTGAATGTTCCTAGTAACACACAACAAAGACAAAGACATGTTTTCACTTATTCTCTCAATATGTTGAAGAAGGATAATCAAGTACTCCTAAATACCACACTAGGCACATCCTACATATCAATATTGACCGATCCATAACATCCTAGTTCAGAAAATAGTCTATGAAATTTAAAAGGTACAAACATTCTCAGAACTTCACCATTACAATGATTATATCCATCACAATGTAAAGCTTTAACATGATATCTCCAAAAGACCAAATGGTGATGCAGTGCATTAACTAAAACAAATACAAGATTTGTGAGTAATAAAGGCCAAATAGTAGCACCATTTACCAAAACTATTTTTTCAAAAAATGAAATTTTTTATAAAAGTTACTGAAAAAAACACTAAGCCTGCTCAAAATTTGCGGGTTGACTACATCAGTAAATTGCACCACTATAATATCCCTTTAAAGTTTCAAATGCTAAAGGAGCCCCTACTTATTTCATAATCTCAGCATACTCAACCATTTTCAAGATCAATTTCTCAAAAATGGCTGAGCTAGACTCTACCAGGACTAGGCTTGTTTTGCTGGGAAATGTGCTTGAGTTCAAGTTGAGCTTTCCATGAATTGGTCAAGCTCAATTCAATACAAGACTGTATAAGGTTGAGCTCATTTGGATTGACCAAAATCAGCAAGTAGAAAATTCTTTACTAATGAAAAAATTTAAAAATTTATTCCAAACAACATAACACACTCAAAGATATCACAATGAATTATTTAATTTTATACCCAATTACCCATAAAAAATTGGAGATCAAGAGGAAAAAAAAGTGTTTCCTGGATATGAGCTACAAAAATGACTTGGAGAGTGAATGGGAAAGCTTCAAAGATGTGAATGGAGGGCTTTTGAGTCATGTAGAGCAAATGAGAACAAACTTGAGGCCAAGGGGTGAGGCAGAAATAGAAGACATGAGTGAGAAAATAACATGAAAGACAAATGAGTCATGCACGGGGAAAATAAAAGAGAGGTCTGCGTGTGTGTGTGTGTGTGTGTGAAAATAGAGGTTCGAGTTACTGGAAAGGAAGAATGATAAGAGAGGAGAGTGTGGGTGAAAGAGTTTGGAGGAACCATCGAGCAAGAGAATTGAAGAAGGGCAGAGCCAAGACATTTAGAGTCTATTTATCCCAGCTAGAGCTTCCGTATGAAGTACTGTCCAAGAGGAGCTGTTCTAAAATTGCAGGAAAGATAAGCTCAGATAACATTTTGAAAACTTGATGCAAAAGTGATGTGGGATTGAAGAAACTATTTGATAATATTTAAATTTATTTTTAATAAATAAAAACTAAAAGGCTCAACTTTACTAAACAAAAATTTTAGAATCAAGGGCATAAATAAAATAAAATAATTTTGTATTAATTAAAAATAATAATAAAAATTAAACCAATAGAAAAAATTGACTAAATAAAAAAGATGAATATTAAAAAATATAATTCTTCCTATAATTTTATGAATTACTTAATGGTAAGTAAGAATATAGAGAAGTTTTATTAAATATTTGTTACCACAAATTAGCACTTTTTGAAGAAGCTTTGATTTGTAGCTTAGTCTAAAAGATCAAAGGCCTTTCTCGCACAAGTCAAAATTTTTAAATTTTGCGAGCCAAACAAATTGCTTTTGCTTCTGTAGTAAGAAAGCTCTTCCATAAGCTACGCCAAACACCCACTTAGGCTTTTAAATGGAGTTTAAATACCTCAATTCACAGCATATACATTAGTCATTAAGAGCAAATCTGTCAAGTATTTAGGATAAAGGTACATAGGTGTTTTTGTACCTAACGTTTTAATGTAAATACATATCAGACTACCACATTGGTTGACTCTCTAGCTTCTCCAATCTATTATTTTACCATATCAAAACGGCTCACAACATTTGAGGTCTAGCTGTAATTTTAAAAAGATTGTGGGTTTAACAAAAATTCTAGAAGATGGCTAGAATGAAGTTAAAAAGTAATAGTATATAAAACGAAAATGTAAAACAAACAGATAAAAAAATATAAACGAGCAACTCAAGAACAGACATGCTTAGCTCACCTATGTTCAAGCTTGGTTCATTTATTAAATGAGTTTAAAAATTTTGTTCAAACTCATTTATTTAATTAGTAACCAAACATAAACAAGCTTAAATTGAACTCTTTCATGAGTTGTTCAACGAGCATAATGGTTCCTTACACCACCATATGTAGACGTTTTACATATTTACCAAATTCCTGGTTGTTGTCCAATGGGATGTTTGAGACCTCATATTATTTGAACAATAACCCGAAGTCCCCTTGATTGTTGAAATTTTGCCAAGATGTTCATGCACATCAAAATTTTTGTTATAACAAGCTTAATGTATAGCACAACAAATTTCATTGCAATAAACGTTTTAGATATGTTCACAACAAGAAAGTGCAGAGGACATAATGTTCAGATAGAAAAGACCAATAACATGTCAGAATACGAGATTGAAGGAAAAGAATGACTAAGGAATTTGAGAAATGATAAAGAAAGAAAACCACAATTCTCAAATATCATTTCAATCACATAACAAAGGTAAGCTTTGGATACATAGTGTGACCAAAGTCAACTGGACAAATAAAATTTACCTAGTCAGTTGTTCGGAAACTATTTCATCTGCTAGAAGGTTCAAGCCAGACATCCCACAATTCCCGTTTCCAGAATCAATCCAGCATTTGATAGCTTTCTCTAATGCAATTCCAATTCGACTTAGTAACAGCAACCAAAGACATGGAAAAATAACATTTTCAACAATTTTCTAATATCATAACTAGAAAGCTTAACGGGAAACAGTTCAAATTTGAGCAGCACCTGATATTAAATATTTAGAATAACACAATTAACAAAGCCAATTGCCTCTTATTAAATTCCAGCATGTTTAGCCTTTTTGTATGTGTTGTATGTCAAGTGGAGCATTGAACACCAAGGTTTAAAATAATTGCTCTTACTCATCCCTTGTGACTAGCATACTACACATTCAAACAAAAATCAGCACCTCATGCAAGTTTATTTAGAAGTATAACTTATAACCAACAGGAAACATCAACAACCATTTAGCTTGGTGGTACCTCCACCTTAAAAGGATTTCAGGTGTTGTTTGAGAGTATGAATACATGTGATCAAAAACAACAGCCTAAGGACTTAAGCATACCTATCTTCAAGAAGAATTAGAGATCTTATTTATGTAGAATGTTTTTTATCGAATTTCCTGTTTTGCTAGGATTAGAAGACAAAGGCTGTAATTTACATATACTCAGAATTGTTAATTTCACACTTTAGCTTCCGAAAATTGGAATTGTACCGCATTTTCTTTCTCTACACTTTATTTCTTCTCCTTTCTCCTTCTTTACACCCTCATCTATAGGCAATAGAGAGAGTTGGATAAAGGAATAAGAGAGATTTACCCCTCCTTCTGCGAACAATCCAACAAATTTTAAAAAATAATAATAAAAATTTTATATTGGGTATTGGTCTTTATCAATACTTATAAAGTAGTTTGTAAAAATCAGTTTAAGCAACCAAATAAAGCAGAGGATTTTCGAAGTCAAGCAACATGTTAAGAGAGGTCAAGGTTAAAAAAAAAAAAACAACTGTTACATTACAGCTTAAGTTTTCCCTTTGGCACCTTTAGCCTAAAATAGCTTTTTATGGTATTGGATCTCACGAACTTTTATAAGGAAATAAACCACACCACCATGCTTTTCATTCTTAAGTAATCATGTGACACGAATTTGTATGTCTACCACTGATATCTTCTGTTCATGTTAACTGAATCAATAGACGGTTGTTTTTTAAAAGGTGCTAATGTATTTTTACATAACCTCTCTACTAAAGAGGATACACCATAATCCTGTCAGGAGCTGTTTACTAAACAATCATGGATTCTTTATAGGTCAAACACATAGTGGCTCATAGTCATTGTGTGAGAATTACTAGGAGGCTTATCACTCACTGCATACGAGAACAATCATGCAGATATTGGTTTCTCTAGCAGCTATCATTTTCAGCTAATCCAAATAGTAATTTATTGCTGCGGAATCATGTTTGTCACATTATAAGGTGTATTGATAATAGTTAAAGGCATGTAGAGATCAGAGATCCATCAAATGAGACAATAAAAGGGCAAAGCTTTTTCTTTCAGACAAAAAGCTCCGCATGGATGGTGATTCACAAGATAATCATTAAGTAACATATAGGACAATACCACTCAATTTGGCAGCCTTTTTATCCAACTGATTTGCAACACTTCTGCAAAATACATAACAAATACAGTCAACAACCATCACAATCTCCTCTTCTGAAGATAGTCATTAAAATTCGACAAATCGCCTACAGGAAATAACCCATTTTCTATCTTTAAGGAAATCAGATTAATTGAAAGAGTGGATTAAAATTCATAAATTGATTTTTCTCCGCAACTAAAAGAAAAAATAATTACTTCAATACAGCAGCTTGAAACATAAAACTTCGAAACTTAGACCCAAAAAGGAGAAAAGAAACGCTGAGCTTTTAAGTGAACCTGGCCGGCGACTAACAAAGAGTAATGAACATTTTTAATGGAGAAAACAGAAGATTTTGTATTATTGTTAAATTTTCGATCGAAAGGATAAAGAACAAGCGAGGAAGGGCACGATAAAAGAGAATGGGAGTGTGTGAGTTTCATGCAGCAACGAGAGAGACAATGAGATGATGATAAGACACTTGCCTTGGAAGAAGCTTAAGAACAAAGAAGGTTGAAACGGCACCAGCAAGAGCTCCAGCTCCCACCAACACCAAGCACTTCAGCTTCTCCTCCATATATACCTTTTTTTCTTCTTTCGGGTTCTTGAATCTTTAGTCTTCGCGGCTCAGGGTTTTTGGTAGCGACTGTTGAAAGGGCTGCAGAAGAAACTAGACTGAAAGGAGGTCTTTTTTTTTCTTTCTTCAAAAAAACAATCAAGGCATAACTGATATGAACTCACTTCTAGCCCCTCTAGCTAGTTTATAAAAAAGTAAATTTAATCCCTAAAGAATAATTTATGTAAATTAAGTTTTTTTAAAAAAAATTTATTACTAATATTAATTTAAATCTTAATACAGTTAAATATGCTTATATAACATTAATTGGATTAATAACAAGTTTTATATTTTTAAAAGGTATTGGATCTCCTTTCATCATCTTGTAAAAGGTAAATAAAATAATATCTATACCCCTATATTAAAAGAAACCCTTGAGGGCTTCACAAAAATTGTTAGGTATATGATTATTTTGAGTTGGAGGGATGGGCATTTAAGTGATGTTTTGAACTAGGCTTTAAAGTCTTTGGTGCGAGCTATATGCTCAAATCATTGGTGATGTTTTAAGTAGGCTTTAAGGTCTTTGGTGTGGGTTACATGCCCGAATCATTTTAATGGATAATAATTTGAAAAAGATTTTGCAGAGTTTGGTCTACCCTAGGTGGCTTGCATACGGGTATCATTTTTCACCTATTTTATTTTTTTTCTATCGGCCTCATTATTTCCTTTGTGTCCCTTATTCTTTTTGTCTTTCTACAGTGATGTTTGAGTTTTGGGTTTGTGGGGATTTGTACCCAATGGCTATGGTTTCTATAACCAATTGACATAGCTTGCTTGAATTTGATGTCGTGTTCTGCTTTGTTCATTTTTTCTTCTTGATGTCAATCATGGGTCTTCAATTGCCTTTACTGGGATTATTTATGGGGTTTTAGAAGCTTAATGCAGTATTTTTAGTCTTTCATTTTCTTGTTCCTTTTGTTTGCCTTTTTTTCATTTACCATCTATGCTTTTATCCGTGCTTGTGCTTACTACTTGAATTTTACCTTTTGGAGTTCGACATCATTTATCTCCTTTAAGTATTTTTCCTTTTTCACCATCTCTGTTTTTATGTCTTCCTGTATTTTTTACACCGTTTTGTCTCTTTTGATGTTCTATGTTTATACAAACTTTAAATTCTTATTGATCGTTTTCAATAATCCAATTTGAAAATTTATTGCATGTTCAAGAATAGCAAATAAGTTGATTTGGTTGAGCAGATATTGGACTAATTGAATCTAATAGTAGTAGTTCATTTTGATATTGACTACAAAGCACAAAACTATCTTTCTTTTTACTAATTTACCAAGTTCTTGAAAATTCAAAATCTCATTTTTCATCTAGATATTTTAATCTCTATGCCTATAGTGTTTAATCATATGTAGCATCACTTAATAGCGAAGATTACATTAATTCACCACAACTGATATTTCTTTTGATGCTATTCTATTTTAATTGTAGAAAATGGATCTTAAATTCCATGGAAAACTAGAGTTATAAGTTTGCATTTGTAACCTAACCTATTATTGAATATGTTAGACTTTTTTTCTTTTTGAAATACAATAAGGTAGAGTTTATGAAGGTAAAATTTTTATATTCTAGAAGCAAGTACTTTAAAGATTTGTCATATAATCTGTATTGTGGTTTACTAGCCATGAGAAAAATAAATCTGTCATATATTTTCTAAAGAATAATACCCAAGCTTTGGATAAATGTATCTAACTTCTATTGTCATATATTTTCCAAAGAATATCACTCAAACTTTGGATAAATGTATTTAACTTCTATTTTTACTTTTAACATTTTGCATAAATGTATATAGCTTGAGACTCAATTTATAGTTACTAATTGTACCTTATTTGTGTTTAATGCTTTACTTTATTATTCAATGGTATTTGTTTTATTTGTACAACATAGTACATATTTTTTTTACGTATGTTTTTTACTTGATGATGGTTAAAAGATATCTTTTTATAAAATAAAAAATGTTTCATCTATTTCTTGAGTTCTAGTTGAAGTGTGTCATTAGCTATAAATGTTGGTTCATCAACATTATCATGCTTTTGAAATGGAAAATTGTTTGCCTAAATTCGCTATTTTATGGTGTTCACACTGTAGACTTATTGATTAGTATTGATTAATTTAAGTTTTTGTAATCGATTTGTTCTCTGTTTTTTTGTTTTGCAAGAGACTTGGATAAAGACATCAACTATTCAGGAGAGGTTAACTTTTCCATTAAGTTTTGTTTACGATTATTTATTGTCACTTATATGGGTTTCATGCTAATTATCTATTATGTTTATAAAACATTATTATGCTTATCAAAATAGGTTGATTAGGCTGACCATATATTTGTCTAACATGAATTTAATAGTAGTAAATATTGACTATTAAATACAAAACTATTTGTCTCTTTTTATTGATTTATCAAGTCATCCTTGAACATTATATAGCTTATTTTTCATCTTGATATTTTTGTTTTTATGCCTTTAGTGTTTAGTGATCTGTAGCATTACTTGATGGTAAAGATTCTATTAATAGACCACAGCTCATATTTTATTTGATGCTATTCTATTTTAATTGTAGAAAAGGGATCTTGAATTTAATGGAATACTAGAGTTATAAGTTTGCATAAATGAATCTAGCATTAAATTCAGTTTGCAGTTACTGATTGTGCCTTATTCGTGTTTAATGCTTTGCTTTATTATTCAATCAAATTTGTGTTGTTTGTAGAACATAATATGCACTTTTTTTTGCTTATGTTTTTTACTTGATAGTAGTAAAAAGATGTCTTTTTATAAAATAAAAATTATTTCATAGGTTTTTTCAATTAGAATTGAAATATGTCGTTGGTTGTAAATCTTGGTTTTGTCAACCTCATTATGCTTTCAGAATGGAATTGTTTTTGCTTGGATTTATTGTCTTATGGTGTTCAAACTTTAAAACTATTGATTAATATCGATTGATTTTAATTTTTGTAATTAATTTTTTTTTATTTTTTTGCTTTATGGGAGAGTTGGATAAAAACTTTGATTATTGAGGTGAGGTTAAGTTTTTCATCATGTTTTGTTTAGGGTTATTATTGTTACTTATATGTGTTTCATGATAATTATTTGTTATGTTTATAAAACATTATTATGCTTACCAAAATAAAATTAAGTTTAGCATCACTTTCTATTTAGGCTTACTTATTATATCTTATACGTATTTTATGTTTTATTTAATTGTTTAAATTTTTTTATTTGTATAATATGTCTGAACAATATAATTCGTATGTTTTTTGAGTTACATTTTCTATTTGATGCTATTTAAAGGATTTTTTTTTTCAAAAATTATTAAACTTTCGTCTGATTCTTGAGTTGGAGCTAAAACATGGCTTTGGCTTTAAATGTTGGTTCTGTCAATAGTGTATTGGTTTTGGTATGATTTTTTTTTGGGTACAATTTACTGTTTAATGGTGTTCAAAGTTAAGACAACCTGATTAGTATTAATTAATTTGAGTGCAATAACCTTAAGTTTTCTATCAGAATGGTTTACGGTTAATAATTGTGCTTTATATGTCTTTCATGCCTTGTCTTATTGTTGAATGATGCTTTATGTGTTTGTATATTTAGTTGATATTCTAGATTTGAATGGATTTTCTTCAACTACTATATTCATTATATTTTTTCCATTTATTTTATTTTCGTTGTTAATGTGTTTTTGTAACTAATTTTTTTATCATTTTTTTGTTTGACTAAAAAAAGGTTAAGTTCAACATTACATTATGTTTTATGCTAGCCATTATATCGTATATATATTTTATGATTTATCTTATTGTTGAATTTGTAAGTTCGATCCTACTATACTGATCTTAAATTAAGTTAGTTTTCTTTTAATATTTTGCAATTTGTGACTATTCAGTTAGGAGACCACCATATACTGTAAAGTGTTTCTAGTTCTTTTTCTTTTGAATTGTTGCATTTTATTTTTTTATTGATTTGCTTTTTTTAAATCAACACTTATAGATATTGCTTTTTTAATATCATTCTTCGTGTTGAGTGATCATAGTTGATATTTTTTATCAAATTTTAGTTAACAATTCATCATTTCCATCTTTTTTAACATTACTCTATTATGTTCATTGCTGTACTTTTGTTTTGAGTGATATGGTTATCATTAACTGTTGACCATCATGTACTATTTTGTCATTTATCTATGATTTCTATATTAACAAGATAAAAAATAACTGTTTAGTTAACATGGATATTTAGCTAATTGGAATTCATACCTTTCATCCTTAAGTTAAATTTTTTGTTTGATAGTTGTAAAAAAAAAAAAACTTATGCTATTATAAATTTAAAATTATTTTCTATGTTATTTGATCATTACCTCACATATATGATTGAAATTTAGCTTAACAATGCATGATTTGGGTGTACAAAAAAAATTGTTTAAAATTATCCTTCATGTTTTGTTGGCTTATTTATTTAGAAATATAGAAAAAAATTATTTACTTGACATCGATGTTGGATTAATATTTGGAATTCATATATCTAATGATTGACTCAAATTCACCTCCTGCTGATTTGCTAAGAAAAAAAACATATGTTCTTGTAAAATTAATTTTTTTGTTTTATATGATTGTTAGCTAATGTTTATCATCCAAATTTTTATTCCTTTTAAAGTTACTCTCTCAAATTGTGAGTATGGTTCCATTTTGAGTAATGTGTTGATTATTGACTGTTAAGCATGGGATGGTATTTTGTCATTTATCCAAAGTTTCTATATTATTTTATCTATTCTATTTTGTGTGTATTTTGTTCACATCATGTGTAGCTTTTTTTTTTTCCATTCTATCATTTTGACTAATTTGCAATATAATTTATTACACTATAAATATTATTTGACTTATTTTCTTACTTTTTATAATTTATTTTCACAATTTTCTTAGATTTAAATGCTCATATTTCGATATTAATGTCATTTAATGTTTGCTTATTATTTTTTAGACTATTCATTAACGAAAAATTCACTATCAATAAAGACTAGCGGCACAAATTGTAAAGTGTCTTCATTTACTTTACTTTTAATTTATAATTTATTAATTTGCTATATTCTCTGTTTGTTTGTTGATTCATTTATTTAAAGTTAGTGTCATTTTTTGCAACTTTGT